CCAAAGCAATTAAAAATATAATTAGAAATGGTGTAAATATTTTTTAATACCATTTCAAAACTGAATCATATTTTTATTTCTTATTTTTTCTTAAATATTTTAAAAATCATTTAGAGAGATTAAACGAAAAATAAATAAACTTAAAATACTCTTAGCGAGAGATAGTTGTCACATACATATACAAGAGAGCAGAAGGTGAATTTCGAAAATAGAATCGCACAAGTGTTTCCTTATGTGATTTACATACTATTTCAACAATGTCAGATTTGTTTATGGATATGCATCGTCGTCGTCGACGTTGGCATAGCCATCAGACCACACCACCAACATCCACATCAGCAACACCAACATCACCGTCAACAACTACAACAACAACAACATCAACCTCAGAATCACCAAGTTCAACACAACATATAAACGATCACAACACATTTAGTCATCATAATTATATGACAACAAATGGTGAAGCTGATGCAGCTTCTAATGCCAATTATAATTATAATAAACAAAATGAACCTAAAGGGGGAAAACATGAAAATTATGATTATGATGACAATGATGAATTTGCCAATATATTAAGTTTGAAATTGCGAAAACCCAAACATTGGAAATGGGAGCTATCTACCTCGAAATCATGTTCCAATATAGCTTTACCACGTATTTTACTGTACGATCATAAAGGTAAACTTTTGGTAGATGCCCAGGATGATAATGAAAGTGTTTATAAGCAAGAGGATTTTGAAAAGTCAAAACGTGATAAATCGAAAAAACGTTCTCATCAAACGAAACATGAACGATCTGCCACCACAAATCTAACGCATTCCATACGTAAAGCTTTGGAAAAAGAATTTAATGGTTTACAAATTCAAGAAGCCACGCCATCTCCCGAACCTTATGCCAACATGTCCAATTATTCACATCGTAGTCGTAAAGCAATTGACTTTAATACAACCGATTTACCGGATTATGGTCTCTCGAGAAGATCTTCTTCTTTAAGAGGAGTTCGTTTCAATATAGAAGACGACGATGATCAAGCGTATTATGCGTCACAAATACCCGAATTTTTACCCACTCCACCTTCGACAACAACACCCACCTCATCGTCATCGGGTCCACGAGAGAAACGAAAATATCGTCGTTCCCAAAGTTCGGGTAGATCATCAGCACATTCGGAATCCATACTCGAAAGATTCAGTTATCAAAAAGGACGTTTTTCATCGCCCGAATACGCAGAAGAAAAAGAAGTTCAACATGGTCCACGTTACTTTTTGCGTACTAGCAAAGCTGGTACTTTGGTAGTGCAAGAAGATAGTTTTAGTCAACATCCCAGAAGAAGAAGGCGTACAATAAAAAATCGCTCTACCGAGTCACTGCAAAGTGGACAGAAATCTTTACTTTCATCTACGCCTCCAGCACAAACGCAATCGGCCTGCAATAGTCCAACTCGAGCGAGCGATTTAAGTCGTAATACTAGTAGAAAACAACAACCCATACGTCGTCATTTGACTGATGGAAATATTTTATTAAATAAACAATTATCAACATCTGAGGAAGATATTGCAACAGCAGCAGTAGCTGTTGGCCAAAAACAACTAATGGAAAATGTTAATTCAAGACATTTGCGTAAATATGGACAGGCACGTAATCAAGCAAAAGGTGGGTAGATTTTACATACATATAGTACATATCACAAATTTATTTATTTAATAAGATGACTGACGATGATGCAGTAGGAATACAATGTATCGTTTTATATACTAGAATAGTCGGATAATGTGTTTTTAAATTTTTAATTTATTATATAATATGACTTACATTGAAAAATTATTATAAGGACTTTCTATGAGTGGTATTTAGCAGTAATTAACCTATCTTTAAATTAGACTATGACTATGACGCAAATTAATTTGTTCAGTTTTTTTTAAATTTCGGTTCGGACTGAATTTTTATTATTCAATATTTTTTCGAATGTTACTGAAAGTCCTATATGAAAGGGGCCTTGAACTTTCTATCCCTGTAAGCAATCATTGTTACTTGTTATTTTCTAATGGAGTCTTAAACTTTGATGTACATAGCGGACATAAGACATATTCTAACCCATGATTCTCTGGTCTGGTTAAAGACGTTATTTTTTCTTGTTCAATACAATTACAAATTATATTCTAACCTAATTACCGACCAGGGCGACGATGACCATACGCCCGTTGTAGTGTAGCAGACCAGAGCCTCTGGTGGGAATCGAAGCCACAACACCCAGACTGACCGGCTAGCATACTATCAACTAGCCTATCGGGGCACCCAAGGCCACCTTTTTGTTTACCCATTTGTTTGCCTTGATTTTATTGGCTTCATGATCACAACAATTCTAGCTAGAGTCCCTGAATGTCAAATACAATTCAACTAAATCTGCGGTTAGAAACATGAAGCCGCTCGAATTTACACTCGACTGCATTAGTCAGACACCATGCTACAAGAGGAATGCAAACCAAGCTTTGATAGCACCCAAATCATCTCACCAACTAAATAGAAAAGGTTGCACCATTTTCTGATCTGAAATTTACAACATCGATATGGTTATCACAAGAATCCGAAAAATGACCTCTAAAGGTCTATCTTGGCTCCTCAACTCCAACTTATTTAGGTCGAAATATAGTCTTACTTCTACTACCCTACACCAACTTAAACGAAATTTTATTGAATTATTATGGGTTCCATGGCATTCGGGTAAGTGTAGTTGAAAACTACATTTACCCGAATTGCTACAAGCAATGCGAAGCTTTGCGCACACAAGCAAAAGTTTGTAGTGCAAAGCTTCGCATCGCTTGAAGCGCCCACTCTGTAGTTAACCTAATGCACAATTATGGTTTCGCAATTGAAAGTATCTGTTTCGAAAAATAATAATTATATTCTCCTGGCCATGTTTACGAATATGATTGGCGAATGGGTAAAATTGAAATGGAATGGTTCAGTTTAACAAATTATCTGATTTGTCTCTTACAACAAATGACCTTTACACTCCTGACCCTTTATAGAAATTTTGAACACACCTCTTTCAACTCTGTCTACGGTCTATTTCATGATCTTGACTGTTTTAGTACAGAATATAATCAAATTTGTTTTTAACAAATTATTGCCTCAAGGATCACACAAATCGCAAGGTCGGCCACATTAGACAGGGAAAATTTGAAGAGTATCAAAATGGTCTCATAGTATGTTAGCCAAATTGAGACCTAACAGCAACTTTGATCGGTGGACATACAGAAATTGTCAATATTTAATACAGAAAATTTCAATCAATATTGAATTTTTAACACTTCTTTCAACTCTGTCTACGGTCTATTTCATGATCTTGACTGTTTTAGTACAGAATATAATCAAATTTGTTTTTAACAAACTATTGCCTCAGGAATCACATAAATCGCAAGGTCGGCCACTTTAGACAAGGAAAATTTGAAGAGTAGCATAATGGTCTCATAGTATGCTAGCCAAATTAAGGCCTAACAGCAACTTTGATCTGCGAAGGAGTTGATATTTGTTGATCATATTTGTTTTGATAATATCTCCGATACTTATAGATATAACTCTGTTAGATATTCTTAAAAGAATATGCCTGACTTAGAATTTTATAAGGACCATTCTAAAGAAAATACTTTTGTGGCTATTTCAATAAAAATGGCTAAAACTGAAATCTCTGTATTATAAACAAAATTTTAGAATAAACATAATGATAATACAAATTTTCAGTAAACTAAAATAAATAATGAGAAAACAGGTGGACAAATTTTGCAAAAAGTATAAAATAGGCAAAAATACGATTATTTTATCTTCCAAATGTGAAATTAGGTTTTCATGTTGCAATAAATATTTAGAAATAATTCATTAAAAATCTAAATTAGATTAGAATCACATGTGTCAGCCTATTTATTAATGACACAAAAATGTCTGGATAGGGAATCTTATATATAATATACCAGGGGTATACACGAACATAAACATACTTATTATATACATATACACAGTAATATATGATAATTTAATGTTTTTCTTTTATTGTTTTTAGGAAAAGAAAAATTAGCTTTAAACTTATTTTGGATGTTGTCCAAATGCTAAATAGCAATTTTGTTTCTAAAGAAATTTTCGTATAAATTCTCGTTCTTAAGCAAAATATTTTGATCAATTATTTAAAAACTGTCAAAATTTAGAAATTTCTTTATGACGGAACAGTTTTTTCTGAATCCTTAAAAAGAAATTATTTCGACTGATAATGAAAGATTATATTTTAAAGTGCTGTATAACAATTATTTATTAATCTATAATAATTTTTTTATTTTTCTTATTTACAGATTTAGATTATTCAGCCGATGTTCATCAAAATGGCAAAGTTAGATGAAATTATTGGTAAAAGTTTCGAGACGAGTATTGTTCATTAATTGATATATATATATTGTATATTTAAAGACATGGTTGTGACAAATATAATAATGCAAAATACTTAAATTAATGATGTAAAAATATGTGTAAATAAAATTTTAAAATAATTTTTAAACATTATTACGTTTACTTTGTAATTTTATTTCTGAAACTTAAAATAAAAGGTGCTCATTATCACTTTAAAATGGAAATGTTGTAAAAGTGGAAATTTTCAGAAAAAAAAAACATTCAGAATTTACGAAAGTATGTATATTCAGTGGCAATATAAATACAAAAATGGATGCGCTAGCAGTAGTGGGCGTGGCACATACCGACGCAAAAACAACAATGGAAATTATTTGGGATGTTGATCCTTTCATATGTTAAGAACTCCCTGCCTAAAAGTATACATTAAAAAAATTACCATTAAACTTAACAACATCATTATAAAGTAAAAATCAACGATCATCAACGTAAGATCATGATCTTAATTTATATTATCGCAAAAACCAATTGTCTTATTTTGTGTGTATGTGCTTTTTTTTATTTTACTCATATAAAGAGTCACTACAATTTACTAAAATATTTCATTCATCGTCTAACATTCAACGAAATGTTTACAAATAATTTTCTAAAATTTACGTTTATTGTAAGTGTTCTGTTTACAATAGATGTTGTTCTTCAACAAGCTGAAAGTTCAATGTTAAATTCTCATTATGGAGACAATTCCTATCAATATCCAATAGTATATCAACGTTTTATACGACGACGACCACCAATGCATCTACATGATCAGTATATGGAAGAAATTCGTGAAATCTTTCATACAAAAGAGAAACCTCCCTCAGGAGACAGAACAGCAATGTCGGATGAAGATATTGATAAATTTATATTCTGTGATTTTAATCGACATCTGGATGAATGTGAGTACATACATAGTAGTATAATAATCTGAAGAAATTTTTATTATTTAAAAATGTAGGTAAAAGTTATTGGGAATCCCGTAAGAGACCTATAATTGCCAGACCTACAACTATAAGTAATCCTCAATCAAGTGGCAGAAAAACAATGACAGATGAAGAGGTTGATAAATTTATATTCTGTGATTTTAATCGACATCTGGATGAATGTAAGTACATAATATTATATAAATCTGATTTTTTTTTTTCAATTTTTAAAATTCAATTTTAGGTAAAAGTTATTGGGAATCCCGTAAGACACCTATAATTGCTAGACCTACAACAACAAAAACATCTTTAATTGAAACATCAACTACCTTGAAATCTACTACAACTACAAGTGATTCTCCATCAACAACTGAATTTTTCGGAATTCCACATCTGGTCAATAATGAGAATAATGAAAATATAGATGAAGATTTGGACGTTGAAGAGGAAAAGGAATATAATGATTATGAATATGATGAATAATATTTGGGAGGGATCAGAAGTAGATCGAAGCAATCGCACAAAATATTTTGTAATAATTCTTCTTTTTCGTAAAACCATCAACTATCTGATATGCTGCCAATACAGTATCCAGTTAAATCTTAAGGAATTTCCATCAAACGCCAACAATTCTATTGGAAAAATTTTATTACTATTCATTTATAACAAGTAAGAAGTTAAAGTAGGGCGAGGTCGACCATATAATACCCTACACGAGTTATAAAAATAAAATGTGATTTAGTGTTCATAATAAAGCATTAAAGTTGAATTGTTCCTTATCTTAGATATACTTTATCCATTTTTTTATTGAATAAAATTATGTACATTTAAGTCATATTTCAAATGAGGCCCTATTATCAAAAAATCCATCAGGGTCATGAAGACTAGTATAGAACTTGGTTTTGCAGCTTTTTGTCGAGATACGAGTTGGTCTTCATCACTTAAGTTTGATTACAAGGTTTATATGGACGGATGGACGGACAGACGGACGGACATAGCTAAACCGACTCAGAAAATGATTCGGTTTGGTATACTTTAAGGTTGGTATGGGACCAATATTATTGTGTAAACATCAGCACAAACCCAATATACCCTCCCCACTAAAGTGGTGTAGGGTATAATAAATTTGGTAAAGTTTTATATTCTTAGGTATAAAGTTGGACTTGAAAATAAATATTATAGACCGAATATGTGTGGATTTTATTGATAACAAAGTGGAAATACTGATAATGCAGAGTGTTATACAAACGGTATTGCCAGATTGAAATTATCAAATAAAGGTTTGTTTCTACGATAAATACAGTTTTTGTACGAATATATTAAGATCAAGGTTTGTGTCTGTGATAAGCAATTAATGGATTTTTAGTTATGCAAACAGGGTGTTTCTTTATATATACGAGGGTCATTTTAAATTTAATTTAAAAATTTAGTAAATGTAAATGCATAATAATAAAAATTGGTAGATGTTGATAACAAATTTACTTTAAGGATGTATACAAAAATAATTTAGCAGAGACAGTGTAAACAAGTTGTAATAGAAAATTGAACAAACTTCTTAATATGTAATATAAGTGTTTATCAGTTCATTTATGGTAAAGACTACTTTAGAGAACTTTGATAAAGTTCCTTTGCTTATGACAACAAATAAAACAACAATATTTTGATATTTATGCAAAAGTAAATATTTGATCAAAATATGTAACCATTTCATTCACTTCCTACAATATTAATAAAATAAATTGCGGAAATTATATATATATAATATTAGAAATAAATGCTCTACCCTCGTTTATTTATCACTGATAACATTTGCACCCAAACAAATTATAGCACCGGCAGAAAGTGAGAATATTTTGGCGGAAGCAAATAAATAAATGTGCATTTATTTCAGCATGAGATTAAAAAATGACTCATATTCGTTTAAATACGATATTCTAAGTATAAAAATGTAACTTTTGTTTAATTCTCTGAATGAAATAAATACTATAAACTAAAACAATATACTAAGTAAGAATTTCTTTGTATCAAAAATCTTTTTTTAAAAAAACTGTATGAATTACAAACAGCGTCACAAGTAACCCCAGCCATTCAACAGTTATTTAGTCATTCAATCAGACTGCCGATCAATAGAGGAACATAAACTGTTTGCTGCTACAATTTTTATGAAATGTTAAAAAACAAAAGTTTACTCTCACATAATAAATACTTAGAGTGGAGATGTGTTTGAAAACACTCGAAAATAAATGTTCGTAATTTAAAAATATTTTAATAAACGATTGTTGATAGTTGATCAGACTTGATCACACAAATAAGAACAAGTGAGAGTGTTACATTCGGCTGTGCCGAATCTCATGGGCGGGTAGGGTAAGTTGCCGACACTTTCCGCATGCAATTCGGTAGGAAGATTTAAGTTTCTATAAAAGTTTCTTATATCAAATTTCATAAATGCACACCTATTTTTAAGCCAGAAATTATGGTTAAAGTAATTTTCTGAAGGGGACCTTATTTGGGGGGTAGGGTCAATTATGGAGCGATCCACATAAAATTTGGTAGAGAGGTTTTGGCTTGAAAATAACTTACTTATATCAAATTCCATCGCTATGCTCGTATTTTTAAGCCAGTAATACGCGTTAAAGTTATTTTCTGATTGGAATCTTATATGGATCCACATAAAATTTGGTAAATAGATTTTGGCTAGTAAGACACATACTTATGTCAAATTTCATTGTTATAGTCGTATTTTTAAGCGAGTAATGAGCGTTAAAGTCATTTTCTGAAGGGGACCTTATATGGGGGTAGGGTCAATTACGGACCGATCCTCATAAATTTGGTAGGGAGTTTTTGGCTCATATGATACTTATTTATGTTGAATTTCACCGCTATAGTTACACCATTAAAACATATATGCCCGTTAAGCCTGTTTTTAGGAGGTCCACTTGTATGGGGGCTATCCGAAAACGTGGACCGATACGGCCCATTTTCAAACATAAAACAAAGAGAATATTTCTGAAAAATTTCAACCTTCTAGCACATTCCGTTCGGATAGACGGACGGACATCGCTAGATCCTCTTAGAATTTAATAAGGACCCAGAATATATATACTTTTGTGGGTCTATGACCAATATTTCGATGTGTTACAAACGGAATGACAAAATCAATATACAATTTTGAAGGTGGGTATTAAAATGTATTGATCGCATAGGCACAAACCGTTTTAATTAATGTATTAGATTCTCTTCTTGAAGGCAACCGGAATACATCCCAAAGAACTTGTTATTTTACTAGTTCTAAGTAAGATTTCCACTTTTTTCTTTTTAATTGCAAATAAACATGTTTAAGTTGGCAAAACAAACTAATTTCACTTCGCAGCCATAATCGGATAAATTAAGTAAATATAAGGCAATTTTCTGATAACTTTAAAACTCTACTTAAATTTTTGAAATTAATTAATTATTTACTTTGAGTGTAAACAAAGCCAAACAAAAAAATGCAAACAATTTACACTTCACAAATACTGCTCTACAATGACGCATGTGAGGGGTAGAAATGGGAAGATAATTTTCTTGATTGAATTAAAACTCAAGTCGTACTCGGCAGCCACTTAAAATTCAGATGAATAATAAAAAAAGAACAAAAACATAAAATTTAACAATAACAAAAAAGAAAGAAAATTATATTTGAAGGCAACTAAATAAATAAAGCGTTCAGTTAAAATTTGTCAACATAATACAATCAGTTTTTCGCGATACGCCAACGGAAACAAACGAAAAAAAATTCGGCTTGCAGTGAAATTTTAAGTCAAACAAAATATTTGAAGTTAAAAGAAAAAAAAAACAATAAAAATGAAACATTTAATTGCTTTAAGTATTCTAATACTTACACTCTTAATAATACCCTCATCAAAAGCTGATCTTTTGGAATGTGATGAGAAAATTTTACCCTCCTTAAGTGAGATACCCGGCATTGGACCCAAAATAGCTAGTGCTGAGGATACGGGTGATAAAATAAGCGATTTCTTTAAGAAGATAGGATGTGAAGTGAAGAGAGGTGCAAAGAAATTTGGTGAAAGTTTCAAACAGAATGCCGAAAAAATCAATGAAAACGTTAAGGAAGGTGTCAAGAAATTCACCACCAAGGCCAAAGAAGTTGGTTCTGATTTAAAAGTAAAATTCCATGATTTCAAGGATCGTTTACATAAAGATTCCGATGAAATGGTTGTGTCCGATAAGAAATTCTTTTTGGAAAATGTCGAATTAATTAATCCTGATATATTAAAAGCTGATCAGGAATGTGGTCACGGTCATATATTGGATTCGTTGGGTAATTGCAGCAAATTACGAAAGTAAATTAAGAACTTTAAAATACTGAAGGAAAAAAGTATTGTATTGTAAAAAAACGAAAAGGAAGAATATCCCATGATAAGAAAGTGCTGTATTATTAAAAAAAAAAAAAACAAAATTAAATGTAAACCAAAGTTTCTAAAATAGTTTTTAAGATTAATGTGTGTGTTTTTATATATATAATTGTTGAAAAAGAAATGATATATTTAGTGTAGAATATACATATGTATGTAAAAATAAAAGGAAAATAATTTTATTGATTGTATCTTTATTTTAATGCTAAACTAGCTTATTGCACCCGGCATTTCCTGAATTTTTTTTACGACTTTTGCGGAAGCTTTCATACTTGAATTATACAAATCCAAATTAAGTTTAGTATTGATTCTCAAATCATTATACCCTACACCACTATAGTTCGGAGGGTATTATGCGTTTGTGCTGATGTTTGTAACACCCAAAAATATCGGTCCTACATCCACCGTATAGTATACCAATCGGCTCAGAACCCTTTTCTGATTTAGCTATGTCCGTCTGTGTGTTCATGTAAACCTTGTGCATACTCTGCAAGTCGCAATTTTTAAGATAATTTGATGAAATTTGCCAGATACTCTTATGTTGACCCAAGGACGAAAATGGTTAAAATCAGTCCATTATTTCCTATAGCCCCCATACAACCGTAACAACGGGATAAATTCAAAAGTTAGAAAGGATCACAGACTTATATTATTCCCTCGATTTAAGCTTTTCTTTAAGAACTTTAACAGGTTTTAGTATTTTTATATAAATATGTACTAACTAAGACTGGATCGCGTTGACAGACTAGAAATTCTTGAGTTAAAAAAGTAATTTTTTTGATGGATATCCCACTCGCATCCCATTAAGCGACTATAAAGACCTTAAAGGGTATTGTATTAGATTTTTTTAAGCAAAAAAAGGACTCATTTTGAAACGCAGCCGAATATAATACTCTTACTCGTTAAAGTCATTATCTGAATGGGACCTTATATACCTTTACAAAGCGATTTAGGTTCCTATACAATATGTTTATGTCGAATTTCATCGCTATAGCTGCTTCTTTTAGTTAGTTATGAGCGTTAAAGTCATTTTCTGAAGGGGACCTTATATGGGGGCTAGGCGAAATCGTGGACCGATATTGCCCATTTTCAATACCAAACAAACTGCATCAATATAAAATGTATATGCAAAATTTCAGCCCGCTAGGTACTTCCATTTGGACTCTATCGTGTTTTCAACAGACGGACAGATGGACCGGCATGTCTAGATCGTCTTAGAATTTAATAAGGATCCAGAATATATATACTTTTATGGGTCTTAGATGAATATTTCGATGTGTTACAAACGAAATGACAAAAACAATATACCCCCATCTTTTTTGATGGTGGGTATAAAAAAAGAAAACAGTGAATAAATAGCTATCTAAACTCCTTGGGACAATATTTGCTAGGACGAATAGGTGAAAAGTTACACTCATTTAAAAAAAAAACCCAATATGTACAACTTTTACCCCCGCTAACTCCGGCAGTTCTTGACTGTTAGAGCTGAAAATGTGTGTCTGGCCTACTATCTAATAGTACCAACTTTGGTGCAAATTTCATCCAAATTGATTTTTTGAGTTGGGTCACCTGACACGAAATTGGCCATATAGATATACATATGTATATATAGAGCGTTACTTAAGGATATATAACCATTCTTATGATTTTGGTAAAAAAAAACATATTTTTAATAGAAAATTTGAGGATTACAAATGTTCATTACTTTCTCAATCGGATCATTATTTAAGGATATACAGAAGATTTCCGGTTTTCATATAAAAATGGAGATTTAACAGCACATTAAAGTGATCATAGAACATTTAAGTGATCGAAGATTTCCTTACTTTTTTTCAACTGAAACGTTATGTATGGATCTACAGCCGATTTTAGGTTTTTGACATACAAGTAAATTTTTTACAGAAAATTTAAGTGAAGACAGATTTTCAGTATTTTACCTCATTGGAACGTAATTTAAGGCTCTATAGCCTATTTAAGTTTTATCATAAAAAAATAAACTTTTGATAGGAAATTTAAGTGATCTCAGATTTTTTTTTTTTTTTTTTTTTTTTTTTTGTCAAAAAATTACAACTGATTAATCTTAGTACTCTTCCCTTAAGTACACTCCCCTTAAACAAGGCGAACAAATTATTAAAATAGTCAAGGATTTTTCCTTACATCACGTGCTTTAAGACCGATTATTATGCTTTTTAATAGAAAGTCTGTTCACAGATTTAGAACCTTGGTGCAAAGTTTATTTTAACCGATAGACGGACATCACTTATAATCCTCTGGATGGTGAATGAAAATTTCGGAAATTACAAATTGAACCAATAACATTCATATAATCATATCATTCTGGTGTAGCGAACAACTAGATAATGATTCACCTATTATAGGGTTGCCAAAATTATATTCTAATAATCGGAAAAAAATCATACAAAAAATAGACTTTTAATAAAAAATTTCAGTGATCTCAGATTTCCACTGTTTTTTTTTTTCAAAAAAATATAACTGATTATAAAGGCAGTTTTTTGTAATTATACTTAGTTTTTTTATTGATAAAATTTGGATTCTTTTTTCATATAACACATAACACTTAAAAAATCCGTTATTTATGTTTGTATATAATATTTTTAAAATTTTTATTTATTTTTCTTTATTAAATTTAAACACTAAACAAATTAAATAAACACATTTAATCAATACGTTCACATATACCATTATGATCAGCTATAAATCCTTCTGGACACAAATATTGTGATATTTCCTCATTAGCAGTATCTACCGTTGAGTTACCAGCATCTTCGGCACTAAGTGTAGAATTATATGGATTTTTTGTAGAAGTCTCAGCAGTTTCTTCAACTAATTTATCAACAAATTCACCAAAAGAATTTAATATACCTAATCCCAAAAGTTTAGCAGCTTCTTCTAAACGTTTGGCTTCCTGCTGCAATTCAGCCACCCATGGTTTAGCTTTTTCCAATGTACATTGTATATTATGAAATAGTTTATTTAAAGAATTTTTATTTTCTTCTTTATTTTTGCTGTCGACATTGTACTCTTCGCTACTGTTGTCTGCATCTGTTTTACGTTCCGCCAGATCTATCGTGGGTTTGTCTTCCGAGCATATAACAGCAGCTGTATCTACGTTGGTCACATCCTTGAGGAGTAATAGTATGAATATTCCCATAAAAATGTATAGTGATTTCATGCTGTTATTATAGGTATCCTTTGTTCGTTATAAGTATTTTTTGTATCCTTATTTGACAGCACAAACTGTTCTACTAACAGGCAAGTATGTTGTTTGCTTTATAAAACTTCAATTTAAACTGTTTACTGGCAAGTTGTTGGAGTGGCAGCAATAATGGCCGAAAGAAAAATGATCATGTTGAAGTTGCTGCTTTTACCATTTGGTAAGAACTTTATAACAACAATAAGAAAAAAAACTAAAAAAGTGGTTAAGTAACTGTCATGTTTTGGTAGCTTATGGTCAAATCATGACTTTTACCTTTTATTGTGTTCAACATATTATTAAACTTTGTTTATTTTTTTTTTGCTTTTTGCAACCAACATAATCATCTCCATCATATATATTTGCTGTATAAATACTTGTGCAGAGATTCAAGTTTTATTCAAGCGTGTTCCACATTTCTTATTAATCATCATCCAATAACAACTTTTATTGATTGAATGGATGATTGTATCAGTTGTAATAATGAAGAAAGAAAATAATTTCTTTAGTCGCATTAGTGTTTGTAGCATCTTTTTTATACCCTACACAATAACGTTGATTTTTTGAGTTTGTTTTGTGATTTATAACGAATGTCGAAGTGCTTTACGTGAACACCTGCCCTGAGGGCCTTATTTCACGGTGGTCTTTTTTAACCACTGGGTGGGCTTTTGTGACAATTTGGCAATATACGTTCCGGTCCAGTATACGTGCATTTTGCTCAAGTACCTGAGCTATCTAATCCCTGACCCGTTGCTTAACTTCCGAGATGCAAAAACATCACTTCCGTTTACAACCACGCAGATGGGATGGCCTCTGTTGAGTCGGCAACAGCACCTAGAGCCACAGTCACTCCTCTGTGGGATATCTGTTGTCATTCGGCAACAGCACCCGCGAATTTGGGTTTAAACCACAGCCACTACGTGGATCCCAAAGGAACGTCAACCAACTGACCAGCCAAGACAAGTCCTGCGAGCAACTGGCCACAAGTAGTACCAGATTATGTGGTTCTCTGATCAAGGACTAGCCGGGGAGTGAAGCGACATCCCCAATTTGTAGCCCCGGCAGACTAGAAGTACTGGTAGCACCTCTTTACCCTGGAATTGCAATACACCAAAATGAGCGTCTTTCATCAAGGTAACATGCCCCGGGGGGATGTGATTTGTAACGTAAAAAAATATATCCTAAAATCAGCTGAAAGTACAACCATATCCAACCATATCAAATCATACCAAGGACTAGCCGGGGAGTGAAGCGACATCCTCAGTTTGTAGTCCCGGCAGACTAGAGGTACTGGTGGCACCTATTTACCCTGGAATTGCAATACACCAAAATGAGCGTCTTTCAACAAGGAAACATGCCCCGGGGGATGTGATTTGTAACGTAAAAATATATATCCTAAGATCAGCTGAAAGTACAACCATATACAAATCGGTCCATTATGAGTTCTGACCAACTCGTATTAGGCCGCCGAAAAGTGATATAGGCTCTCCTAGATTGTGTAAGTCTGAATACAATTTAATAATTCATTTACATTTCTAACACAAAATATTCTCTGAAAACTTTATTTTCTCTACTATACAGGGGCAAATAGAGTCTTGTTATACTGGTATAAAATTCAACTTAAATCAATGAGTGTTTCGTTGCGGTTTTTAATTTGAAACAAATATTTGGTTAAGTTACAGTTTTAAGCCAAAAAATTAAAAAAACACCTTACATTTTTGGCAATGTCGAATCTTAAGTACTCTTTCCTTAAAAAGACTATTTCGATCATTAAATTTTTTTTCACAGAAAATTATTTTTTAATGTATATATTCAAAAATGTATTTATGTAAAGGTCACATTGCAAATACTAATTTATATGTAGAACATAACATTCAAAATATAACCGAAAAATACTTTAAAATCGTCAAGGATTTTTCATTACAGCACATGTTTTAGGGCCGATTATGATGATTTAGATAATTGAAAATCTGTTCTCAGATTCAGAACCTTGGTGCAAAGTTAATTTTAAACGACAGACGGACATCGTTTATACTTTATGCTACGGATGGTGAATGAAATTTCGGAAATTACAAATTGACCCAGTAACCTTCATATACCCATATCATTCTGGTGTAGCGAATAACTAGATAATGATTCACTGATTTAAGGGTTGCCAAGTTTATATTACAATAGTCGGGGAAAACTGCTAAAATAATCAATCGGTTTACGGTAAAAAATGTATCTCCATAGCAAGATTTTCGAATATATGAACATATATCTGAGAATTTGATCTAAGATATTTGGAAAGTTGATTCAATAAAAGGTAAACAAATTACAAAATTGTAAATCATAACTGATTTATGATCGACTTAAACTATTACTAGGCCACTCATTATAGTTTTTCTTATAAACAAGTTAATAAACAATACCGTATGGCAACCCCAACTAATTTCCATATGAACACATTTTGACCATTTTATACACTACACATGAGTATTTTATTATAAAAGTTTGTTTTATTTCTAAAACAATATTCAAACACTTCACTTGTCTTGGCAGAATTGTCTAAGAATGACCAATAAAATAATATTAATTTATTTAATATTTATAAGTCTGGATTTAGAGTTTATAAATTCATTTCCAATTACCAAAAATGAAAAATCGAATCGTCAAAGAAGACTTATATTGGGAGTACCTTGCAGTCATGTAAAACACACTGGCAGTTGTATCGAAAAGAAAATAGACACTTCAAAACTCAAAGATATCTTAAATATGTCTGAGAGTACTAATACTTATGAATTGCAACCGTTTGTAGCACCGGAGGTGAGTATGAGAAAATATATATATATTCTTACCACACAAGACTTCATTGATTTCAAAACATGCTAATCACACCGCAAAGTCGAGTTATTTATATGATAAGACTTTAGTGTGTGATTACATTTACATTACAGTTTTTATTCATTAATATTTCCAGAAAACTGCTCCTGATGCTAGCGTATCATTTTGGATAGATGGTCTTTTACGGTTCTGGGGATAAAGGAATGAAGGATACGTAATTTGTTTTAAAAATTGATATCTGAATTTACTAAATAATACTGATAAAAAATTTAATAAATTCCAATTAAATAAATCTATTGAACTATATAGTAGACAGAGAAATGTTAATACTTTGAGGTTATTTATAATCTTTGCCTTCGCGGTGTATATAGATACCGAATTTGATTAAAAAAAGATGTATTGTTAACGCCCTATAGAATATTGGCATTACCACAAATACAATATCAATAGAAATCGCATTACCAACTAAAATCTGTATCGGTTCATAATTAATCATAGCTCCCATATAAAGTCCACTTCCGATCAATTAAACGAATACAATTCATTAACAAATAACACAAAATTATTTTGTTAAATATTTCTTTGATCGGTCAATAATTAATCTCCCATACAATGTCTATTTTAATTTGATAAATTTTTACTGGATCAGTACATAATTGACCATAGCTTTACATATAAGGTCCTCACATGAAATTCAATTAGTTGAAATTTTAAAGGGTAAATATCTGTCAAAGAATGAAATAGTATAAACAACAAAGCTCGTTAGTAAAATTTGCATCGAATTAAAAGTGCTAAATGGACTTCAAATCAGTCAAAAACAACTATAACCACTTTATAGTCCGATCCCTTCTCTGTCCAACTACCATTTATTTCGATCGATGCAGTACACTAATTGAGTGTGTATAAAAACTTTTTCATAAGTAAATTATAAAAAAATGATTAGGATAAGAAACGAACTTTTCCGAATGGGTACGATTTTGATATAAAAATATATCGCGTAATTACGATGTAAACTTTCAATTTCGCTAATAGTTTTAATATACAAAGCTTAACTTCAGATAATATACATAGATTCTAACCACAAATCCATTTATTAATAGTTAATACAGTCATATGTGTGTGGGTATTAAGAGGGCCCACAAAAATTATTGTCTATCTATCTATATTATTCCAAAAATAAATATATTTTGGTTGCTACAAATATTGCTATTTTAAGCTGATAACCACTATATTTTAATATTAAAACAAGTAAAAATATATAGTCGGTCATGGCAGACCTTATGATATCCTAAACCATACTACTCACTGGTAAAATTTAAATAATCATTACGAAAAAATTACGGTATCATTTAGACTTTTTTATACCCACCATCAAAAAAGATGGGGGTATATTAATTTTGTCATTCCGTTTGTAACACATCGAAATATTGGGCATAGACCGACTATATTATATATATTATGGGTCCTTATTAAATTCTATGGCGATCTAGCCGTGTCCGTCCGTTCAAAATACGAGTATAGCCATGAAATTTGGATCAATGTTGATCAGTTCGTAATTGACCCTACCTCTCTATAAGGACCCCATTCAAAAAATTACTCTAACGCTTATTACTGGCTTAAAAGTACGAATATGGAGATGAAATTTGACATAAGTAAGTTTCTTATGAGCCAAAACCTCTCTACTCACTTTTCTGAGAATCACCATATCTGGGCTGTGTCAACCCCACATATCAGCTCCCCTTCAGAAAATTACTTTAAAGCTCATTACTAAAAGATTTTGAAAAACGGTGGGATCATTTTATGGCATACGGTTTGATGGTAGGTATAACTCTCACTTGTTAAAACTAAGTTTTGGCGATTTTTTTTAGATATTAGAGCATATGATTGTATTAGGGTTAGGCGAAATAATGGACCGATTTTAACAATTTTCTATAGGTTTCGTCCTTATAACAAAAGAGAAATACGTGCCAAATTATCTTGAAAATAGATTGCGCACAAGGTTTATATGGACACACAGACAGAATGACGGACGGACATCGCTAAATCGACTCAGAAAGTTATTCTGAGTAGATTGGTATACCTTAAGGTGGGTGTAGGACCAATATTTTTTTGACTGTTGCAAACATCAACACAAATTCATAATACCCTCCCCACTATAATGGGCATTTTATATCCTTTAGAGCCATCCTAATGTATACATATATATGAATATAAGAATATCTAAAAAAGAACCTATTTGAGGTAATTCACCATCAATGCTGATAATAATCATTTCATTATATTAATACCATATGTAATATATTTTATTAATATTGAAAATTATAATTTCTATTAGTACGATATTAAAACTATAGATAAACGGACATCAAGTGTGTTATATTACTTTAAACTCGTTTAAAATGTTCAGAAAATATTTTCCTACACTTTTTATAATTGCGATATTGTTAATCGATTTACAAACGATAGAGGGTTCCGTAAAAGATATACCTGCAAATTGTGCAAGTCTGAGACACGATGGAAGATGTGTTAACAATAATCGAAAACAAATTGGAAGTGTAAAGGGACGATTTACCAATCAAAATGTTAAACCTAAGCCATATCAAAAAATGGTAAAATATCATATCTAAAATATATAAACAACTAAAATCAACTAAATAAAATATACCTTCATATTATTTTAAGGTCAGTGAATCTAAAAGAACAGAAAATTCGGATGAAATACCTTGGTATAGAAAATGGTTTGGTTAAATTTACAGCATATAAATTTACTGCTAGACTTTTGCAAGGTATTGTCATATGACGATCTGGTAGAAATTATCATATGGGGTGCATTAGATCCAATTTGTTCCGTAAAATCTAATTAATTTTAAGATATCGTTTAAATATATTCATTTTAAAATATTATTTAACATTTAATCTAAGAAATTTATTAGTCTTTAAAATTCATAAGAGTTCAGTTTTCTCGGAAAGATATTGTCAGAAAATTTCGAAAATTACATTTAACATTTTTTTGAATTTGCTAAATCTTTATTTTTATCTTCTTTAAACTCCTATAAATTTTATTAATTCATAAAAAAAATTATATTAAAATGTTTACTTAAAATTATTAGAAAATGTTTAATGGAAACATAAAGAAAAATTTGTAAATTAAACTTTAGTTCCACTGTAAAAACTGAAAATGTTTTCATTCCGGAAGATATATTATTCAATGACTTTTCTATTGTCTGGTCTAATAACTAGTCTATGAATGAGTCTCTGGATTTGTTTTTGTACTGTAGGGATTAATCTTTTGTTGTACGTTTTAACATGTTTTCAGTTCTGTATTTTCCTTTCCAAATAGTGGAATTAAACTACCAGAAATCCCATATCGCTGCAGTGCAGAAATAAATACTCCAATTTAAATAAAGCCCTTAAAATAGGCTTTACTTTTATAAATCATACAATATGGTACAGTTAGATCTGGTTATAACGAGGAAAAATAATAGAATTTAGTTGTACATTACAATACAGTTACAAATTATATTCTAACCTAGTTTAGCGTGCAGGATGACGATGACCATACGCCCGTTGTATTGTAGCAGACCAGAGTCTCTGGTGGGAATCGAACCTCACCGGGGCACCCATAATAGTAAATATATTTAAGTTCAACTATGTTTGCCGTATCGATTAATACGAAATGTATGGGTTTTAGGGTCTGTTTTATATAATGCAAACAAACATTCACTCTAATCCTCCGTATGGAAACTTAGGTGAATTATGAACCAATTTGTACTGAATTTGAAAGAAATACCTTTGTAAGATCAGTAGTACTTGACAATCAGTAAAAGTTCAAACGGGAATTATAGACAAAAGTTCATAAAATTGTGTAGAGGTTCTAAACGGCTAAAATCGCAAGTTATACCTAAACTAATGATCCGATCGCAAACGTTTTTCTCATATTTTTGTACAAAACCTTGGCCGTAGTATACATTTGATGTTTTAATTCCACAATTTTTGAATAAATGGCCGGGAGAAGGTATTCTGCCTTCCGGTTTCATGGAAAAGCGGTTTCCTTTTAATTGAAATTTTTTGTTTATCCACATCTGCACAACATACAAAACCCATTATTCTATAACTTTTAAACCAAAAGAGAGAAAAACTTAAGCTATGTATACACAGTTGTTAGATCTTACAACGTTGTCAGTAAAATGTACAGAAAATGTCGAACAACAGTGTCAACTTGCATTTTACATTTACATTTTACTGACAACGTTGTAAGATCTGACAACCATGTATCACAGCTTTTATATACCATTAGTCTGGTTTAGATGACCGATGGCTAAAAAATACAAACAATTCTAAAACTTTTATCTTTAAAACAATGAATGTAGTCTTTTATACAACTGCCTTTATTTAACGCTAAACTAAGAGATCTAGTAAAACGAGTTTTAATAAACTGAGCCAAAAATCTTAATTTAATTCTCTTAATTTGTGATCGGTCGGGAATGCTCATTTAATAATACTTGTGTAATTTAATTTTAAAATAAACAGCAACAGTTACTTTTACCGAGTATAATTTTGATCACAACAACATATAAAAAACAGTTTGAAAGAGACAGTGCTACTGAAAACAACCTGTGAAAAATATAAACCGAAAAAATATTTAAAGTTGAAAAAATAAAATAAAGAAAAATAATCAAAATGAAATCATATTTAATTTGGGCATTATTCGCATTGATAGTTGTGTCTGCAACAAGTGTTAAGGCAGACTGTGAAGATGAGGTAAAAGAGGATGACAGCTGGTTCAAGAAGGTGGGTTGCCAAATTAAGAAAGGAGCCGAAGATACCTACCAAACGGTCAAAAAGGGAGCAGAAGATGGTTATGAAGCCGTTAAGCCACTTGGAGATAAAATCGCTACATCAGCCAAAGAATTCGGTAATACAGTGGCCAAGAAATACGACGAAGTCAAACATAAGCTAACCGATGATAATAAACCTATTGATGATAAACCAGCCGATACTCTTCTTGCCAGTGAGCCCATGGAGAAGGTACCTTTAGCCCCTCTGCCCGGCCAAACTGATAATAAGCCCGAAATGGCTGCAAAATCAACAACAGGTGAGCAAAACACAACCAAATCGCGAAATGTTGAACCAGAAGGTTTTGATGATCGTTTCCTTTTGCAGAATAATGATCCCTGTCCTCCAGGCCAAGCTCTTGATCATACAAGAAAACATTGCCGTATAGCTGTTTGATGTTAAGTTTTTTTATTCATTTTATAAAAAATAGAATACTTTTAATTTTTGTGTTTGAAAATAA